GTTATGTGATGCTGCATGTCTTAACGTGTTATGTGATGCTGCATGTCTTAACGTGTTATGTGATGCTGCATGTCTTAACATGTTATGTGATGCTGCATGTCTTAACGTGTTATGTGATGCTGCATGTCTTAACATGTTATGTGATGCTGCATGTCTTAACGTGTTATGTGATACTGCATGTCTTAACGTGTTACGTGTTTTTATTTGCAACATAACACCGTATGGTAACGCATTCGCTTCCATTCATTGTAATATTAGCATTTGTCAAGTAGAAGTAATATAGTTTCTTATACGACTTAATAATGATTTGTTATACGACTTAATAATGACTTGTTATACGGAATAATGATTTGTTATACGACATAATAATGACTTGTTATACGACTTAATAATGATTTGTTATACGACTTAATAATGATTTGTTATACGACTTAATAATGATTTGTTATACGGCTTAATATTACTTCGGAAGGCACAAATATTCCTGCACGCAGCGCGCGTATCAATGCGTGCAGCAGCGGTTCACCTGGCAGGAGTCGACCCCGCCCAGCGCCGCGCCGGCGCAGAGCATGGCCGTGGTGACGGCCGTGCCGTAGGCCTTGCGACACTCGGCGTACGACAACACCGGCACCTGCGCCTCACGCAGCACTGCCGACGTCTGCCCTCCTGGTGCGTGCCAGACGTGTTGGTGTACGTGAGGTCATGACAAGGCAGCGTGTTAAACGTTTCGATAAATATTAGAATAGTCGAGCAAGATTTGTGTGCCAAGCACTCTAAATCAACACAGCGTGTTGAACTTGTCGAGAAATATTAGAATAGTAGGGCAAGATTTGTTTGCCTAGCACTCTAAATCAGCACAAAAATTCGATTTAACGACAAATTGTAGAGAGTCCGATATAAATTTTCATGCAGAAATCACTTCAACGCACTTATGATGCAAAGGTCCATGTTGAAGATAATTTTGTCTGATGTTAAATTCTATCATGAAAACTATCATTCAAACAAAGTGAGTGATCTGCCACAAGCGTAACAGGTTCAATAAGGAACCTGCTACGCCGTAGCAAATATGAACCATAGCAGGTTCATATTTTGATCAAACTGATCAATTTGATCAAGCCTGGACTATCAAAGTGATCAAAATATGTTTATTATTTTGAATATAATGAACAATTATTATTTATTATACGTTTATTGATCCTCACCAAACTGAGTGGACCCCCAGCCCACGATGGTGGCCGTGGCGTCCACAAAGTCCTCTCCGAGGTCGGCTGGGAGGCACACGGGCCTGATGGTCGGGCTCGCCGCCCAGTCGATGGGGTCGATCCGCAGCAGCGCAATGTCGTTCACTAAAGTATTGGCTGGCGAAAATTTACGAGTCACGCTTACATTCTCTCAATTAAATTAACGACAATGTAATGCATTTCGAATAAAGGCAAAGATTTGATAAGTGGCTGCAGCATATTTTAATATCAAGAATCTATCAGACTATCACGTCAGACCAAGTTGCACCGATTAAGATACGTTTTTTAATATCCTGCTGGTCGGCGTCAATCGTCTCATTATTATTATATTATAAGATTTAGAGACCCTGTAATGGAGACGCATTATGCTCTGGACGCTGGAAAGATTGATTGACTGCTAAACACTGAGTAATCGAATTTCTGTCCTCAGGTTAAATGTATGTACAGTACGCGGGAAATTCATCTATTACTCCCAACAGTGGAAACTTTATATTGCCTCAGGATAAAGTTCCGACTTCTAGGATTTTCCCTCCTGGCACTGCTATAAGGAACCTATTTTGACAATAATTGTGTTCATAACTATTCACCGTTGTACTGAAGACCCCTCTCACTATTGTAGTGAGGAATCTACGCATCATTGCCATGAAGCTATCCTTCACTTTTATACTGAGGCCAACACTCACCGTTGTACTGAGGCCCACACTCACCGTTGTACTGAGGCCAACACTCACCATTGTACTGAGGCCCACACTCACCATTGTACTGAGGCCCACACTCACCATTGTACTGAGGCCAACACTCACCGTTGTACTGAGGCCCACACTCACCATTGTACTGAGGCCCACACTCACCATTGTACTGAGGATGCTTCACTATCTGGCGCACGGCTCTCGTTACGCTGGTGGACGACGGGGTGAAGATGTTGAAGTAGCCGAGCCCAATTGTCATTGTCATGGTATTGCTACGCCGAGAAATTATTACAAAATCAATTCGCATTTTTTTTTTTTCACGACATAATTGATGCAAAATAATGAATGTGTGAGTTGGAGCGAGAATTTTTCATGCTACTGGACTATCTGATATTAATTCAATGTCATCGATAATTTTCATTCAGTCATAATGGGAAAGTAGAAACCATTTTATTAATCTGCTTGTACTGAGAGAGAAGGGAATAAACTGGAATTAAAAATCCATTTGTGGTGATGAAACCCCGTGCCTTAAACGGGGTTTCATCACCCCCCGGGGTTCGAGGTTTCATCACCCCCGTGCACTGAACGGGGATAAAACCCCATGCCTTTCATTTTTCCCGTGACTTGAATGCACAGCTTCATAAAATATCTGCTGTCGAATGATCTAAGAGTTTCCTCATAGTTTCAACGACTCTAACCTTTTTATACAATGAGCAGCCGTTACGATCCAGGACTGGGTGACCAGGCTGCCACCGCACACGAAGTTCGCCCCCGTACCCAGGCTCGCCATCCACGGGTACTCGCCTTCACTGGCCTGCGCGCCCCCAACGATGCGCACGCTCGGCTTGGCTCCACACACTACAACATAGCCACGTTAAATGAACTACAAAGGCATTTTTAAATCATGCAACACACCTTAATTCCTGATTGGCAGAGTTTTTAATTTATTTCTCAAAATATGACTCACCACAAGAAGATGATGTGCCTGCAGATGTGGAAGTTGTAGGTGTTTCAGGTGAAGCTGATGTTGTGGATGAAGCTGAGGTTTCAGGTGCAGCTGGTGTTATGGATGAATCAGGTGTTGTTGTTGAAGAAGGTGTTTCAGATGCAGCAGGTGTAATGGGAGACGTAGAATCGGAAGCGAGGGGCGTGCTGGTAGTGCCAGCTATTGTAGTCGGAGCGGATGTAGGATTAATATCCGTGCTTTTACCCCACACATTGCAGCTGAAGCCTCGTGCACCCCCCAGCCAAGAATAAGAGGACCTAAGGCGCACCAGAAGGCGGTCCGAGGGAGCGCTCAGCCGCACGTTGCTGAGCGCAGTCCAAGAATACCTGGAGAACGTACGTCTGGAGCTAGAGTTGCGAACTTTAAACCTTATGTCTGCGACGGCCGCTCTGACTTAGGATGTACGACTGGCGTTTTAGTCATAAACTTCTAACCTAATGTCTATGACGGCCACTTTCGCGTAGGAAGTACCGTACGACTGGCGTTACAGTCGCGAACTTCTATCCCTATGTCTATGACGGTCACTCTTGCTTAGGAGGTACGACTGAAATTGCAATCGTGAACGCACGATTCTACAACTCTACAACAGTAGTATCATCACAGTTTTCAGTAGTAGTACTGTACTACAACAGTAGTATCATCACAGTGAGTGTATCATCACAGTTTTCATAAACAGCTTAAATAACAGGTTACCGATCTTTTACCCACAATCTTTCCTTGAATCTTAGCCATCATTTGAGCCAACGGCAATGGCAATTTTGCTAAATATCATGAAAACTTACCTAAAAGATGTCAACAAAAATGCGCAACCGAATGCTTTGAGAATACTGCTTCTGTCCCTGACCCAAGTGGCATAGATACTGATAAGATAATTTTGTTAATTTTTGATGATATTGCTACGGAAAATAATTGGAATCCTGCTGCTAGTTTTTACGCCTGTGCAAAACATAAAAACTCTATCTCAATTTACTTATCCCAAAACTATGACATATTACCAAGACAAGTTATTTGAACGAATTCTAGTCTATTACTCCGATTTGAGTTTGAATATTCTTCATATCGTATCGATATGAAGAATATTCACAGTGATTACATTGCTTGCGATATTTCCTTTTCTGAATTTCCAGAATGTGTAATGAAACGTATAAAATACCATGTAGCTTTGTGTTGATCAATAAAGATGAGCACCCAGGTTCTGGGAAGTATTTAAAAAATGTAAGTCAGTTATTTATTCCAAAGAAGTATCTTCCAAAGAACCACTCGCTCTCGGTCAAGTCCAAAGTTTTCAGTAATGCATAGTTTATAAACTTTACTGAGGGTGATCACAAAATATTGGAAACACTCGGTAAGGTTTCGATCGGGGGACAGTGCTTAACCAAATTTTGATGGCCATGATTCGAGGTAAGATTGTGGGTAAATGATAGATTACCTGTGATTTGAGCTGTTTATGCAAACTATGATGATACACTCACTATTTGTATTACTCACAAACAATAAAGATAAATTTTGGGGGAAGCGGCCATGCAATAGGTACGATTAGCATTAAATATAGTCTATCTATCTGTAGTCAAAGGGTTCAAGTGCGAGGAATTAAATCGAAGAATATACTGTGATATAAGTTTTGACGTCAAATTAAAGAATGATGAAGGGAATAAGAATGATACTCTCATATTTATCGAAATCATGTTTCAATGTCAGATTTAATGTGACAGCTTGTTGAGCGTGTGGAATCATTGATTTACAAATGATCAGAATATTTCTACCAAAATTCATGAACTTTTAAATTTCATTGCAGTAAATTTGTTACTTACGAAACGTATCGCTGCGAAACCGTGTCAATTAAATCAAAATAATCACGGAAACCAAGAGAAATTTCACTGCAGGAAATTTCCAGATTGGATCCGTCTGCTGACTGAAATAAGAAAGCATTCACTTGAGAATACTACGAATATAAACAATTCGTCGGACAAAAATGTAGTTAAGTTAGATATAGGTAATTTAATTAATGATAATTTCAAACAACTGTAACATATTAAGAAGTACATTCGGGTTATAGCCAAAGCTGGTATTTAAGATCAATACAAACATGGCAACTTATATCCTTACTACATTCATAACAATTTATATCCTATCCATCGTGGCCTGGGACTGCTACGTCCCAAACAAATACTTAATATACTACGTTCACTACACGAGGGTATCGACAAAGGAAATTATTTCTACTCGGCGGTATCTAGAAAGGCAATCAATAATCTGTGAGACACCAACTAGAAGCTGCGTGGGCCAGCTTAGTATCCCTTAAAGAATAATCAACAAATAAAGGATCAGACTTGCTCACCTGATATCTCCAGCCACATCGCTGGTTGGACGGATATTTGCGTGGGTAATTTGGACTTTTGAAGTGAACAGCTTCCCCCTGAGCCACGATCACCTCGCTGTACAGGCTTGAGCAGGCGGGTGCCTCCCGTACGTCTGCCAGGGCAGCAAGGAAAATAAATATATGTATTTTATATATTTAAAATGTCCACTTTACCGGACTTTAATTATATTTTTACTTATAACTAATATATATATATACATTGGTAATACCGCGACAATTATTAGTTGACGTTTTTCAATTAGTTATTTAAGGTAAAAGAACCTTTTCTGGCTGGAATTTACCTTAGTAAAATTGTAAAAAAGTGTCTTTCACACCTCTATTTTCAAAATTTTTTTCAAAAAATTTTCACACCTCGAACCCTAATTTTAACCCTAACCAAACGAAATTTTCGTTAATTAGCATGTCACATAATAGCGTTCATCTTGTTTTTGTGTCGCACTATTAGCAACTACTAATCATAGGTAGATTCTGCGACATTGGTACATTCCGAGACAGTAATTGTGCGACATTTTGTCGCACCTCAAATCTCCAGCCACAATTGTGCGACATTTTGTCGCACAATATGCCAAAAATGTTGCGCTATTGTCGAAAGTATGAGTAACTTTTTGATCGAACAATTCCGCGACACGGTTTTCGGAAATTCCTTCAGTGATTTTTCTCTTGTTGAGATTTCAAAGTGTGTTTTGCATAATTGTGAAGTCGTGGATTCTTATTTCAGTGTCAGTGCATAAATTGCTGAGTAGAAGATTTGTTTAATTTATTGCATAGTACGAGTACAACTTTACCGATCAATTTTTCGTTAATGACATTGATATAAATGAACGTTGTTCTGCTATATCAAAATTATTGATTTTATACAAACTGTGCTTGTAGAAAGACAACAAACATGACTTCACGATACATTGAGTAGTCTTGAACATAGTCTTTCAATGCAAGAGTTTATGATCATTATACACCAAGAAAAATAGTTGTATAGGCTGTGTTCTATCGATAAATTTTATGTATGATATTTATATTAATTTATATAAGTGCCATTAAAACAATCTTTAATTCTTCTGTATTTAGGTAAATGCTCGTAATATTACAAAAACTTTTATCTATTTTTATTTGACTTCTTTCCATCGAATGGGTAAATAAGCTGAAGAAGTTAGTTTAGTAGAACAAGTGATAGTTACGCCTACTTGATAACACAACACTCACTGGATGGTCCAGCAGGCGCTGTGGTCTGTACCACTGCGGGAGGCGGCCTCCAGGGGTGCCTTGCAGACGGTGACTGCAGACTTGCGGTGCTGCTGTGCAGCGCCACTGTCATCTGGCAACACAGTGTATGTCATTACAGCGTCATCTGGCAACACAGCGCATGTCATTACAGCGCCATCTGGCAACACAACGTGTCATTACAGCGCCATCTGGCAACACAGCGTGTCATTACAGCGCCATCTGGCAACACAGTGCATGTCATTACAGCGTCATCTGGCAACACAGCAAATGTCGTTACAGCGTCATCTGGCAACACAGTGCATGTCATTACAGCGTCATCTGGCAACACAGCAAATGTCGTTACAGCGTCATCTGGCAACACAGTGCATGTCATTACAGCGTCATCTGGCAACACAGCAAATGTCGTTACAGCGTCATCTGGCAACACAGTGCATGTCATTACAGCGTCATCTGGCAACACAGCAAATGTCGTTACAGCGTCATCTGGCAACACAGTGCATGTCATTACAGCGTCATCTGGCAACACAGCAAATGTCGTTACAGCGTCATCTGGCAACACAGTGCATGTCATTACAGCGTCATCTGGCAACACAGCAAATGTCGTTACAGCGTCATCTGGCAACACAGTGCATGTCATTACAGCGTCATCTGGCAACACAGCAAATGTCGTTACAGCGTCATCTGGCAACACAGTGCATGTCATTACAGCGTCATCTGGCAACACAGCAAATGTCGTTACAGCGTCATCTGGCAACACAGTGCATGTCATTACAGCGTCATCTGGCAACACAGCAAATGTCGTTACAGCGTCATCTGGCAACACAGTGCATGTCATTACAGCGTCATCTGGCAACACAGCAAATGTCGTTACAGCGTCATCTGGCAACACAGTGCATGTCATTACAGCGTCATCTGGCAACACAGCAAATGTCGTTACAGCGTCATCTGGCAACACAGTGCATGTCATTACAGCGTCATCTGGCAACACAGCAAATGTCGTTACAGCGTCATCTGGCAACACAGTGCATGTCATTACAGCGTCATCTGGCAACACAGCAAATGTCGTTACAGCGTCATCTGGCAACACAGTGCATGTCATTACAGCGTCATCTGGCAACACAGCAAATGTCGTTACAGCGTCATCTGGCAACACAGTGCATGTCATTACAGCGTCATCTGGCAACACAGCAAATGTCGTTACAGCGTCATCTGGCAACACAGTGCATGTCATTACAGCGTCATCTGGCAACACAGCAAATGTCGTTACAGCGTCATCTGGCAACACAGTGCATGTCATTACAGCGTCATCTGGCAACACAGCAAATGTCGTTACAGCGTCATCTGGCAACACAGTGCATGTCATTACAGCGTCATCTGGCAACACAGCAAATGTCGTTACAGCGTCATCTGGCAACACAGTGCATGTCATTACAGCGTCATCTGGCAACACAGCAAATGTCGTTACAGCGTCATCTGGCAACACAGTGCATGTNTACAGTGCATGTCATCATGCTGCCTCCTACAGTGCATGTCATCATGCTGCCTCCTACAGTGCATGTCATCATGCTGCCCCCTACAGTGCATGTCATCATGCTGCCTCATACAGTGCATTTCATCATGCTGCCTCATACAGTGCATGTCATCATGCTGCCTCATACAGTGCATTTCATCATGCTGCCTCCTACAGTGCATCATGCCGATACGAAACGATACAACTCAATCTAGCAAATATAGAAAAATGAATGGTTTACAAATCACACGGCATGTGAATGAGCCGTTCATTTTGAATTGTTTCCATCATTCCAGGGGACAGGTTGCAAGGTTAGGCAATTCGCGGAACTATTATCAAGTTCCGGGTGCATGCACAATAACTGGCGGGTAAAAGAGACGCGATATAATGACGAGCCATTACGCTGAACTGAACACCTGTTATATAGGCTCGACACTTAGTAGTACTGTTTTATCCTGGATTTTATCGCTGGGCCGTGCAACTTGCTTCAGACGTTACCTTTATTGATAAGTGACATCTATTTATTAGTTACAGAGCATTTACATTTTACCTTGCATTAATTATTAATAGGAGTGTGACAGAACTGTGGTTTGAGTCGGACGTGATTTGTTGTCAAGTGCTGACACTCTTGAATTGTTGTCTGCATTGAATAGGAAATTGACGGGTGTGATGAATTTAATGGCGCAAGCCTTCAACGTCCATTTCCAGTCATTTCGATCATTTTTTATTCAACAGTCATTTTCCTTTTTGCCAGAAAATAACAATGATTAAAACAGTGATAATACAATAGCATTTTCAAGCTTTTTCATAATACTCTAAACTATAAATGTAACCATTTGCTTTGTCCTCGTAGGAACAAAAAATTTTGAAAGGTGCTGGGAGATACGATACTTAAAAATATCATATGACAGACTTAGATTTCAGGTGAATAATAAGAAACATGATAATCTGAAAAGAAAACTAAAATATAAAAATTCTAAATTCAAGAGAAACTTACCGTAAATATTCGGAAGAATTCAAACGCGATCAGTTCCATTTCCAATTATATTCAGATTTAATTCGTGTATGTGTGATTTTCTGTTGTAAAAGAGATTTTATTTCACTGATAAATAAAAGAAATGTAACATTCAGTTCCTGCTGTACTTAAGGGGACCGTCTACCCTCCGTAAAAACTTGTACAGTTATTATCCGATCATCGTGAAACTTCACATACACACGTAAAATGTAAAAAATAACATTTTGCTCGCATGAATTTTTCGAAACAATTGATAGAAAACGTGATATTCATAGAAAACGGCAAAAAACGGGTACTATAGAAAATCTATCTCCTCCTACAAATATCGTCCTACAACATCGAGACACGTATCATTCGATTCGTAAAGACTATACCTATCGACTCTGCCATCCCTTTTTTTCATTTTACCCATAGTTTTTTTAACGCGTGTTTTTCCCATTTTTCCACTTTTTCCCTGCCCTCCCCACCTTCTCCCCCATATATAAGACGAACCATGCACAAATTCAAGAAAGGGATGGCTAGATCGATTGGTATGGTCTTTGCGAATCGAATGATATGTCTCTCATTGCTGTAGCTTGAAAACTGTAGGAGAAGATAGGTTTTCAAAAAGACAAAAAACTAAAATTTAAATTGTTCAGGGGAGCCAAATAAAGTAAAATTCATTGAAAACAGAAGAATATGCCGAAAAAAGTCTTGATATTGTAGCCCAAGCTTTCCCATTGCCAAATATTTGCATTCAAGGTACCAGCACGCGTCTTTAGACCTATTTATGTCAAATTTAACGTGAATAATAAGCTATAAATTGAACTTTTTATATATAAATATATATATGAAATATTCATTTTACATAACGTTACAACTGCATTAAGCAAAAACTATTGCATGTGCATCTATGGTAATAGCTTTGTTGAACGCGTCTCGTTTGTAGCTTTCAAACGAGTGCAAACACTTAGTAATTAACGAAAGTAATGATCTATATATACAGATTTAATTCAAAAAAATCATTGTACATATTGTTAAAAAATGTTCATTTTATATATTTTTAAAATTGTCTTACGCAAAAACTATAACACGCACACACATGCGGTAAACTGCGTTAGACGCGCTTTTTCAGCAGCTACAAAATGAGTCAAGAAAACGGAAAAGCCAATATATTCGATTTTTAGGGTAGACGGTCCCCTTAAGTTCACTGAAATGCATTGCTCTCGATTGCTAATTTAAAATTCGAAAAACTTTTTGTGTGGATAGCTTGCAGCAGAGACAAAAAGAATTAGCGAAATAGTAAGAAGGGAGTTACGGGCAAGATCCTTACTATTATTTTTCTAATATACTAATTGAAATACATGGAAAAATTAGGGCTGCACTCTCGTTTAAACGAAGCGTAGAAAATTACGTAAAGAATTTACCACTAAAGATATTGCAGTGAGACAAAAAAAAAACACTCTTTCTAGGCGAATCGCGAGTAAAAATAATACTTGTAAACGGAGCAAAATATTTGAATTTAAGCTGAAAAATTTCTGCGGTAATAAATAAATATCGCCGTGTTTCCTGGGTAGAGATTTCAATGAGTGGAGTAATGAACACAAGTGTTGCTGCTGAGCTACTAGTAACAAATGGCGCTGCCTGAACGAGCGCCTGCCGTCCGGGGCTGATCTGCGTGGGTGACACCACAATGCAGAGGGACTGAAATGTCGCTCAGTATAATTACGGGCAGCCATTATACTGTTGGCCACTTTACTGTAAACAGTTGATCACCGCCGGCCACTTAACTGCATGCAGTCGACCATCGGCCACTTAACTGCATGCAGTCGGCCATCATCGGCCACTTAACTGCATGCAGTCGGCTACCGCCGGCCACTTAACTGCATACATTCGGCCATCATCGGCCACTTAACTGCATGCAGTCGATCACCGCCGGCCGCTTATGTGCATGCAGTCGAATCCGGATTTTCGCCAGAATTTCTAGCCATATTTTTTAAGCATTAAATTGCTCCTTTTCCTTGGTTTAAGTGCCAATTTTTTTAGATTCGTTTATTTATTCGTTCATTATCGTACGCGATGCGTCAGTCAAAACTTATTAAATTCATTAATTTATCTTAAAGGTCTTAACTAATGATGTATTCGAGGTGCATAAATCGATAATCAAAACTCATGTTGCTAGTTTTTGCAAAATTGCTTGTGATTAAATAATTTATTTTTTTACTTGCTCATACTGAACTTGCGCACTCGCCTACTACTCACTTCTTCCTTATATTCCCCCAAGAAGCTGCCTCTTCCAAAGAGTACATTAGCTAACTGAGCGCCAACTTAAGCTCGGGGGTGTGCATTTTTAATAAGGCAAAATTAATTTTCCTTTAATACCGAAACTTCATATCTTATTTCCCAACAATTCATTCATCGCATTATCACATTCTTTCTTTACGCAATAGTTCGCATTTTGCTTTACTATCTTAATTGCAATTGTATATAATTGATCAAATTGCCGATTTTAGAAGCGTAAGATGAAAAAATTGTCAGAAGTTTCAAATGGGAAAATTTCTTGGAAACATTGTTATTATTTCATATGCCCATGCGAACGGCACTCGTCAAAAATGTGCTAACAAGACATTTGTGAAATGGTTAAACATGAAAAAATTGCGATTGGCTCAAGTCAAACATGGATTGCTCCAAAATTAATCCAGATCTAAAGACCACGAATATTTCTGTTGTTGGTGTGGTCACAGTTACGTTATTCGTAGCTACCAGCTACCGTTATTCGAAGATAGGCTGGACCGAATGGCCAATAGCAGCATGAGTGAACGATGACGCAGACACTCGATAATTAATATTCAGATCAGTAAAAAGTTTTAATACATACATGTATGTTTCACGATACAGTCTTCTTACATTCGTGTTAACAATTTTGATGTAACATCAGCGTGGGGTAATTAAACAATACACAAAAACAAAGGAGGACATATGTGCGCTGCATGGTGATTCTGGTTCAGTGTCCTTTTTCTTTTGTTCCACCATCCTAGCCTCGTAACAAGCCAAGCCCGAATTAATGTTTCAGGGGCCAATTGAACTCAAATTAGAGCTGTAACAATAATAATAATACACCATTTATCGGACAATAATAATGAGGATTTATATTTATAGAAAACAATAATAACACCTTTTATAGGACAAAACTATTGAGGACTGCTTGTAACGTACAGTCTTGCGTCTAGCTAAGTTGGCTGCTATTGGCTGACACGAACAATAATGAACTGTATGCTAACTATGCAACGATAGAAGCAAATTAAATTCAGCGCTTGAGCAACACCCGAGAATCCACTTCGAGAAAACATTTACGACAAGCGTAACTCTTCAAATAACAGATGGCGCTAACCAATCTTAAAAGTGCTGCTCGTGGCTGCAACAGAAGGCATGGCATTGATACTAGTTGACATTCGACAGCAGTGAAAGGTTCACTTCCCATTTTTTTATGTTTCAGTCACTTATATTATTGATAGGGATGCAACTTTGACAACTGCCATTAAAGCAAAAAATTCATTTGATATATATACTGTAGGTGCAAAAAGTATCCGACTCAAAGGAAAAACTTCATTTAGGTATAATTTTATAATTATATATATTTTATTAATATTATTTTTAAGCTTATTTAATTCGGATAAAGCTTATTCAACAGTCAAAACCGCCGTGCTGAGGTGTCTTCAGATATTCTGCGAGTAGCTGATCGCGGCGACATTGCGGCACTGGCTTTAGGCTTGATTCGCAACAATCTGGTGTATTTCTGTTCTGGTCTGCGGTATAATAAACACGTTTAATAACAGACTAGACAAAGCTATGGAGAAATATATGTTCACACTTGAAATACCTAGCACCATATCGAATTTGGTGAAAGTCCAGCAGCTATTTCAAGCTATCGTCAGTTTGGAAAAGATCCGGTTTAAGGACCTGTTTTTTAGATCTCCTGTGGACAAGTCACGAAAAGTACAGGAATCGGCGACTGGCCACATCAGGCCTATTCTACAGTGCCGACACCACTATGTTATGTTATGGGTTTCTGGTACGAATATTTTTCATCTGGTATATTTGCTAAAATCTATTATATTTCTGTTATGTTGAGCTGGCAATCTGGTATACTCGACTAAAAAATAGTTAACAACGCTGCAATCAAGAGTCTGTCAAAAAATTTTTGCCTTGATCGTGCCAGGTATGGTGGGTTCCTTGCAGGGCTCATGTGAATGCTTCATTTCGAAACGCATTAATCCTTTCGCGGGCAAGCATAGGAATGGGCAGGAATTTGAATTGCTGGAGCCACTTCGATAAAAGATGAAAATTGTAAAATAAATTTACCCTATGTTTTTTTCAAATTTTGCATGATATTGGAGTAAATCGCACATGAAATTTCTATAGAAAGCGGTCCCTACGCACGCTAAAAGAAAGCGATTTTTTTTATTTATTAATTCAAATGCAAAAGGAAACTATAAAGCTGCAATTTGATTCAATTTTCTCAAGCTACTAATTGTTAATTAAATTGATATTACTGCTTCAAATTTATTAAAAAATGCGGAAATAACGTCAATTTCATTGTCCGAGTGAAAATTTTTATTGAGATACTCACATTTCAATTCCTGGGCAGGCCAGAGGGTGATGCTATGCACGGATGGTCAGATGATTGGAGATGGGTGGAGGCATGCCAACGTAGCCTCAAACACAAACCAGGGTACGAGCTGAGATTTTTCGGAAGGTGATTTTAAGTGACCATATTTGGTAACTTGCCCGCTAAAGGGATTAAGAATATTGGACTGGACCGTGGCTGGCAAATACCTGGCGGCATGGTGTAATCAAGCCTGATTCAACCAGTCGGCCGCATTTAACTCGGTCGACCACGTCTCTTTGTTTCGTCGACTTGACTTATCTTTCGGTCTGAGCGGCACAGTGTTGCGATAGTTCGAGTCCTACCCCAGCAAAAGATTCCAAAGCGGTCGACGTGGGTACTCCTCTCCTTCGCCATCGTAGGTCGGTTGCGGCGTACCACAGGGCTCGGTACTCGTCCAGATCCTCTTCCAGTGGTTTAATGGCGCTGTGTTGCACATGTAATTGATTGACTTAGTTTGATTGATCGGCATTTGTTCGCCGACGATGCCCAAATTTATAACTACTGTACTGACGCAGCAGCGTTGCGGGACCGGATGTCTGTCTACATGGACGCCTTCTCAGATTGGATGCGTTGCAAACGCCGTTTGCGTGGGCAACGGGTTCGTTACGCTTGCGTCTTGGTTCGCAAACTAGGCATTCTGCTGGACTCGGAACTTTCATTGAACAATCCCATTGCCAAAGTCAGCACGGCTTGTTTTGGCGCTCTGCGCCGAATTCATGGCGTCATCCGCTGTCTCTCGAGATGAGTGTGGTGGCGCTCGTTCTGACCAGATTGAACTTTCAACCACCGCACTTGATGAACAGCAATCCACAATGAACGCTACCGCGCAACTTGTGTGGGATAAGCAAAAATTCGATCACGTGACGCCGATATTCCTAGATTTTTACTGTCCGCGCATATAGTAGCACGAGCAGGTCAAGATCCTGTTCTGACGTTTAGCAGCCTTCATGATCTGGCACTTCCTTATCTCTCGCAATGTTTACAGCGCATGTCGGATCTGTCTTCGAGATGGCGACTCCCGGTCGCCACCGCCAGAACCTGGAACAGTCTGCCGGCTTCCGTAACATCGGCTCCTTCGTTGCATGTGTTTCGCCGACGCCTAAAGACGGAACTATTCAGTGCTTACTCAATTTTATCAGTTCTCATGTCTATTTATTTTTCGCTTGCTATTAAACTCATGTATAAAGTGCCTTCGTTGATGGAAAATGGAAATTCAAGCTAATGATATTCTGTATTTGTCGACGGAACCAATTTCTACAGGGACAAAAAATTACATAATTTATTCATAATCTCTTGTAACCATCATAATTTATGATCGATACATGAGACTAGAGGTTTCAGCGGAGCAAAGCAGTCACGTGTGGCACGAGTTTGTCAGATGTGGTAGAGTATTCGTCTACTCGAGTGACTCATATTAAAGGGCTGCTGGGTGTGAATATCATAAGAACAGGACTATACTACTAATAATTGACTCAATGAACGAAACTAATAAATTACCTTACGGAATATTATTAATATAATTAACTTAATAATATCATTAAGATTACGCCCATATATATTATATATTATTACGCCCATACATGGATAATATATCAATGTAATCTCGCTATATATCATGATATATACATTATTGATTAATCGATTTCTAGGACGTACGTTTAATCGCCGCAAGTCGGCTAAGTCAAGGGCGATGCCGAGGCATAAACGAACAATAATAAAAATTTCTAAAGTTAGCTCTTCCATGCAGGGATTATTTACAACACTGGCTAATTGGATTGATCTACGTCAGTGGTTCCCAAAGTGGGCGATATCGCCCCCCTAGGGGCGGTGGAAAGATTTTGGGGGGCGGTAAGGAGGAAGAGGGCGGTAGGGGGGCGATAGGGGGCGGTAGTTCGAAGTCAATATCAGAAGTTCGAACGTTTGTTTGACGATTTGTACACAACACGTGCAGCACATCATGACTCACAGCGATGGTTTTTTTTCACCCAGATCTGTTTTTTAACCTCTCCTGGGTTTATGTCTCGGACAAATTAACGTTCGGACTCGCGGCCGATCTCACGGCCAATTTCCAATTCAATGTTCAAGTAATATCTCTCAAACTAATTAACTTAACTCGATGAAACTTGGTACACGTATTCATTTGGACCTAACGGTAATGTTAAGTTCGTGATTTTTATTTTATTTTGCCTTCATTTGTTTTTGCCATAGTTATATGGCAATACGGGCCGAAATTCACAGTACCGGGTAATCAAGAAATTTTTTCCAACTATTGAGCAGATTTGAACGAAATTTGGTATTTACAGTCATAACTACCGAACGTTAATGTTTAGCTCATGAAAATTTATTCGATTGTGTCTTTGTTCGCGAGTTTTTTTTTCATTTCACCTTCATTCGTGATTTAAACAGCAATACGTGCTTAAATTCGCAGTAATCAAGAAATTCCTTCCAAAAAATACTGAATGGATTTGAACGATACTTAGTATTTAAATACCTAACCTCAGCAACGGTGATGTTTAGCTCGCTACAATTTTTTCGTTTTGCCTTCGTTTGCAAGTTATACGGCTATACGTATACGGATATGCGTAAACGGCTCTTGGTTAAACCGGCCGGTAGAAAAGCCAGTCGTTCCTCCTATATTTGTGTAACTCGCGAACGAAAGCAAAATAGAAAAATTGTCACGAGCTAAACATCACCGTTGGGAGGTTAAGTATTTATATACAAAGTTTCGTTGAAATCTGTTCAGTAGTTTAGAAAAAATTTCTTGATCGCCGCGAATTTAAGCGACAAATTATCCGGCGGGCCGAATATAAGGAAGTGTGAAATCAAGAATGACTGTGAAATGAAAAAAAAAACTCGCAAACGAAGGTAAGATAGAAAAATTTTAAAAGCCAAAAAAATCAACGCTTGGTAGTTAAAAATGTATATTCAAAATTTCGTTAAAATCTGTTCAGTTGTTTGGAAGAAATTCTTTGATCACTGCGAATTTCGGCCTTAATCGCAATAAAACCCACGAATGAAGATTAAATTTAAACATTTTTACGAGCTAAAAATCAACGTTAGGTTTTGATGGGGGTTAGGTTGGGTTCCAAGTTTCCTTGAGCTGCGTTCATTAGTTTGGGAGATATTACTTGATAATTGAATTTGGAGATTGGTCGTGCGACTGGCCACGAGTCCGGCAGTGAATTTGCCCGAGACGTCCTAGGTTCCTAGTGCTGAAACAGTTAAAACAGCTTAACATATTACTTCACTAAATAGGGTTCTATTTGTGAAATACACATTCGTGTTTGACATTTATCTATTAAAATTGCAGCGTACTAAACTTCAAGAAAGAGGCGTATGTTTTTATATGTGTCTGTGGGGGGCGCTAGAAGTTCACTAGGGAGCCAAAGGGGGCGTCAACCTGAAAAAGTTTGGGAACCACTGATCTACGTAGCATTAAAGGGATAATTGATCGGCAAGGCCGAGGCTGTAGCGGCGCAGGGGCGCCATGGCGGCGAGGAGGCGCAGGGCGTCCTGCGTCAGAACGACGTCTTTGCCCCCCCATCTGAGGTGCGTGGGGGGGCGGTCCTCCCCCGAGTCGAATCTGAGAGATACGAAAAAGAAAATTGATTCTTTGCTTACAATATTCAATTACAGTGATAAATCGTATAAATAAATAAGCCAGCGCTAATTTAGAATTCACGTGGTATTCGTACGCACCGGAAAGATGGCACTAGTTGCAGCGCCAGGTTAGTAAGGTAACACATGATATTACTACGCACCGGAAAGACGGCGCTAGTTGCAGCGATAATTTATTGAGGTACCACAAGATATTACGGCGCACCGGAAAGAAAGCGCTATACTGAAAGAAATATTCGCCTCCAGAAGCGAGTCATTCTCAGCAGTGGGTCGATCATAGTGTTCACTTGCTTTACTTTACGAAGCAGTAGCCGCAGCAAAGCGGCTTGTGAGACAGGGTAATAAGGGGTTTGACTCAGTTGGAAAGTGCATGGTTCATATGCGCGTATCGTTTGACGATTTAGCTGGCAGCTCTCGGATGTGGATCCATTCATATCAATATAAATATTGATGCCAAGAGTAGGTAAATATTAAAATAATACAATGCATTGATTTTCATGTGTCACCTGGATCGTGTATAATAAGTTAATTCCATATTCAAATTTGTATATTTTGTTGTGGCTGGCCTTGAAGAATGACTCATATTTCATGGTTGAGCTAACTTAATTCGTGTGTAAGCAGAGAATTAGTGCATTGGCTGTAAGTAGAAAGAAACATATTGACGTTGTCGATAAAAGTAGATAAATAGTTATAGGTAGTGCGAGTACTTGTCCCGTCACACTCCCGCTAGTTTGACAGATTGTGCTACATTTCAAGATCACAAAAAATTCTACAGCCGCTCCTGCGTATATGTTTGTGTTACTTTTGTTAAAAAAACTTAATTTCTTCAGTATATATCATCACTATTTTGCAACGTAAAACTCATGTAGTTTATTTCCGACCGTAAATAAAAAGTTTCAAGATATCATTTACCAATTGGCAACTTGACTCGCGTTACTGTGTACTGCCTCCCTAGCTCTAGTGCCGTTTAACAAAGAACCGTTCCGTTACAAGAACGGTGTCAAATTGCTGTCTGGAGAATTAGTCAGTGGTAAACTAAATCTTACTTACTTGGGAGTTGGGAGTGCTATTATAGTATTATTTAATAAAATTCAAGGTAAGGAGGTATAGATGAATGAAAATTTGACGTTGTTTATTTGGCTGTTTCTATTGTGATGAGTGTACCTCTTCTTAAATAATCCCTCGATCAAGAAGTCCATTGTGGTTCATCTTCCTGTATTCAAAATCAGTCAATCTCTTTTCTTTTCTCAATCGAAAAATATCTGAACTACAGATGGAATGTCTAGTTCCTGCTATTTTGATTCAATAATAGGACAAAAGCTGTCCGGGCAACTATCGCCCTGTCAGTTTGACAAGTGTCGTTTGCAAGGTAATGGAATCTGTTGGGAGGGATCGATTGATAGATCATTTGACTTCTAATAATCTCCTATCAGACTGTCAACATGGCTTTATTGCAGGGAGATCCTGCACCACTAACCTCTTGTCTACTCTGAACGAATGGACCCGCCTGCTGGACGAAAGGGAGCCAGTATATAGATGCAGTGTACCTCGATTTTGCCAAGGCATTTGACAGTGTCCTACATGAGCGGCTGTTGCGGAAATTGCAGTCTTTGGGAATTGACAGCAATGTACTCAAATGGATCAGAGATTTTCTAGTAGGGAGACGACAACGTGTCAGTATTAATGGGTCCATATCAGACTGGGCTCCAGTGCGCAGCGGCGTGCCACAAGGAAGCGTTCTCGGGCCTGTTTTATTCGTTGCGTTTATAAACGATCTGCCAGAAGCTGTGTCTAGCGTATGCTCGATGTATGCTGACGACACAAAAATTTATAATACAGTGAAGAATACGTCGCAAAAAGTACAGTTACAAGGCGATCTTAGCAGGCTGGTTGACTGGGCTGATAAGTGGCAGCTTCGTTTTAACGCTGACAAATGTAAAGTAATCCACCTTGGCAAGAATAATGAACAGCAAGATTACAGTATGAGAAGACACGCTTGCAACGACAGAGTGATGATTTCGAAGTCGACAATGGAAAAAGATTTAGGAGTTAATATCGACATAGACGAAGCTATGCAGGAGCATATGTTCAGTCTTAAAATGCCTAGCAAATTACGGACCAGGCAATAAGTCCAGCAGCTATCTCAATCAATCATCAGTTAAGGAAAGATCGGATTCCAAAGGCCGGATCCCTTGTGAATCAAGTCACGAAAAATTCAAGAATCGGCAACAGGCCATGGGCCTATTTCTTCAGTGCCGACATTTCTATTCTATAAGTTTACTGTTTGTTTAATTTTTACTTATCATCTAAAATCTATAACAATTTTAGAACCATGCGCCGTTGAAGCACCTAAAAAATGTGTCGGTATTTCTGGCTTGTGGAGAAAAAGAAGACCTACTGATTACATTACTGATATCAAAGAATTAATCAGCAGTAGGAACATGAGATTGTGACCTACACGCTCTAACAATTCCACTAACTATGATGACTCCATCTCCACTAGATGCATGCACCAAAGCTAGATGAACATGGAAGGTAAGCACCACAGTGACCACACTAAGTGTAAGTTTAAATTATTTAAAATTTTTTTATTCATATCATAGCAGCAATCATGCAATATCTAGTCATACATTATTGGCTCTATTTCATAGAAGTCACAAAGAATTTCTTACATCAAGTATTTTCTTTGCATTCACATCCATGAGCATAAATTGTTTTTTTACTTAATTTTATAATGATCACCCAAGATTCTGTGCAAGGATCAAGTCTTGTTCATAATTATGGTTGTTTAAAATTTGGAGATAGTCTGTAGCAATTTGTTTGCGATTGTGCGAGTATATACCAGAACTTTCTTTCCTAGTTTGCCTGTAGCAGATGGCATTGTATTTTCCTGAATGTCCCTGAAGTCATGATATAATACACTTCAAATTTCCTTCATGGTTCAAATAATTTTTTTTCTAGAATTGGCTGATGCATATCAATTCAATAAATGGAGATTTGTCTCCTACTAAAGATAACCTGCAGTTTGAAGTAACGTATATATTCATTTTGAGATCAACACCGTATATTTTCATTTTGAGATCACGCTACACATTTGTTGATAATTAAAAGTCTTTAGTGCATAGTATGAGTCATGAATAAGGAACTTTACACTGCAAAATTATGATATATTACAATGTTTCACGCCATAAATTATACCTCACCTCAAAAAATTTAGAAAATTACTCCTATATCAAATAAAACCAGTCTAATTAGAATGCTTCTTCAGCGCAACGATTCTGCCTAGCTCTCACCTACCCACCTTCACTACTGAAAGAGAAACTTCTCCCAGACTAAGATTCACCATCAAACTTCAATGCGCGTCTCAGTGGTCAGTGCCTCACCAGTGTCTAAAGGTTATGGTGATTAGGAATAGGAATAAATAAGATAAGAATAGGGGGATTTGGGGGGTTGAGATGCGGAGTTTGAATTAAGGGGTGGAGCTCGAGCCGCCTAGCACGCATGCGCGGGACCGGGGGAGTATTTAACAGGAGCTAGCGGGCGACCGCGGGCAGTTCCGTGGCGGCGTTAGAGGCAGTCGGACCAAACAGTGAGTGGCGGATAGAGTGGTCTTAGCCGAGAGCCAGACGCATTTGTGAAAGAAACCGACGCCAAATCCTGGTATTGTCGGATTACAACGAGCATCATTTGCAACAACTACGACGCGAACCTGGTCATACGCGCTCAGAGTGAGTTCCATCGAAGCAAGTCCTACGCAAGTCCGAGCAGCAACCCTTCGCATTAGACCGCAACGTCGAAGAAACCGACGCCAAATCCTGGTATTGTCGGATTACAACGAGCATCATTTGCAACAAAGTTCCATCGAAGCCAAGTCCTACGCAAGTCCGAGCAGCAACCCTTCGCATTAGACCGCAACGTCGAAGAAACCGACGCCAAATCCTGGTACGAGTCCCGAAGAAGTCAGAAGTCGGCCAACGCTCAACTGCATTCCAGCCGGTGATGTACCCCTTTTCTTTTGAATCGATGAAATACCATCCCCATTTTTGCCCTCTTCATTGGTACTATTGTGAGGGTTAAATTATTAGCGTGCATTGTAGCCTTCGTTGGGAATTGCAAATACGGGTAGGCTAAGCCTAGAAATTTGTTGCCAATTTTTGCCGTGCCCAGTTCTGTATTAGGATGGGAGTTTTCTGCCTTTAAGTATATAAGTGTTGACATAAATGTTTGTATCTTTTCCTTTGTCAATTCGTCGCCTAGCTGCCAGCGTGAGAACCTTGTCACGCGTCGACCCTCGTGCCAGAAACCTGACAGTATTTTAAAATGTTTAATTAAAAACTCTATCGAGATTTCCATACGATTGATGAGTTCAATACAGGTGTAGAAATAACTAGTTGTCTTGAAATAACTATACAAACTATCGACGCGAACCCTTATATCGATAAACATAGTTTCGGTTGCAATCACTACATCAAGACTAAAAGAGAAGTTAGAAATAAAGTAGAAGTAGGACGCCATTCTCTAATCAAACAAAAGTAGTCTCGTAATCAAGCATAATTGGAAGTATTGCAAGAGGGGACGCGCAAAGGGGTTTCTTGAGAGAGGTTCACAAGAAGGGAAGAAACAGGAAGAATGGGAAAGGCAAGCAAGTATGATTCGATGGAGAAAATTTGAGGTAGGATGTTGGGGCCAATAGATTTAGATGAAAGACAAATAAATGAGAAAGAATAGAGGATAAAAAAGTTCTTGATTGGACGACGAAATTGGAAGAGTAAAATGGAAAGAGCCTCGATAACAGTGACGTACTGAGTTCAAAGTTCAATAGTCCGAAATAAAATTAATTCAAGCTTGTTGAATTTCTGCAAAATTCAATACTTTTTTTCAAAATTCAAGAATTTCATCCAAATTTCAGAAATTCAAGAATGTTTTAATTTGGTATACAGCACTACCGGCAGTAGAACAGACGCACCTGTTATAGAGTCTGAGGTCAATTTGTTGTCCCTGCGGCGTGACAAAGACATATGGCAGGGGCGGTTGCTTGTTTCGCCCCAAAGGCCCTTTCTCTACCGCCACTCTGCGTACCTCTTCACTCAGCCACCCACACACACCTTCCACGCTCGTATCCTGACGTTAAATGACAGAATAGTTTCTTAATAAATATTTTGTTATTAAATAATAAGAATGTTGTTAATAATGAATAGTTTGTTAATAAATAGGTAACAACTCTTCACATGAGGCTAATTCAAGTCTTTGGACACATCACAGCGAAGGTCTCTTACTATCGTAAAATTATCTTACCAAAGACTGTTGTTCAGAACTTAAATATTCCTATGCAACAAATGACTCATATTGAACTATGTTATCTCATTCAAATGCATTAGAAATACACGCTCGAGACAAAATGAACTCTTTGTTTACAACACTTCTCTTTAACTTCACTTCTTGTTGTTTCTTTGTTTGTCTGCTACAAATCTTATAATCAATATTTAACACACAGCTACCTCTCCAATCGATCTTAAATTTTGCACACTTGCGTAAAGTGGGAGACAATGCATGAATCAATTGACAGAATAAAAATTTTAAACAAATAAAAAAAATGTCATAATATATTTTTTTTATATTTAAAAATAAAAAAAGGAATTCATTGTATATTAGTAACGTTGAAGACATTGGACTCTCTGGAAGTCTTGTCTTTAGAAAGTAATTTTTAAACGCATATCATTTCATCTCACAATTGCTGAGAGACAGTGCACAGTTTTTATATATTATTATGTTCAATATTAATTATTGTACACAACTAGTACTAAACATGTTGTCTCATTCAAACACATTAGCAATAAACGCTCGAGACAAAATGCGCAGTTTTTTTCATCATCTCGCAATTGCTGAGAGACAGTGCACAGTGTTTATATACTATTATGTTTAATAATAAATATTGCATACAACAACTAACTCATATTCAGCTATACTGTCTCATTAATTAGCAATAAACGCTAATGAATAAGAAACCAAACACACTAGCAATAAGAGCTCGTGACAAAATGTAGTTTTTTTCATCTCAAAATTGCTGAGAGACAGTGCACAGTGTTTATATATTACTATGTTCGATATTAAATATTGTACACAGCATATAACTCGTACTAAACATGTCTCATTCAAACACATCAGCAATAAACACTAGAGACAAAATGTAGTATATTTATCATGATCTCACAATAGCAGAGAGTTCCTGCACGAGGTGGCTGCTGCGCTCCTCCTGTAGCCGTGCAGGCAGGTGGTCGCTGCTCAGCCACGGCACACCCACCACCAGGTCTGCACAGCGGCGTCGTCATGACAGAGCAATTATAATAGAAATAAATACAAATTATTCATTACAACAGCGTCATGGTCAATATCAATCAATATCATTGTTCAATAGAAATAAATGAAAATTATTCATGTACAACAGCGACATGGTCATGACACAACAATTGCAATAGAAATAAATAAAAATTATTCAATGATCTCCTGGTGATGACAGAACAATTACAATAGAAATAAATAAAAATTATTCAATGATCTCCTGGTGATGACACAACAATTACAATAGAAATGATGTCACTTGTTTGCTTAAATCGAAAATTAACTAAGAATTTATTATGACAATTGAAGCAATGTTTCGGAGCTGGGATGACTATTGTGGACTATTCATTGCTTTTAAATTCTTAATTACAATAGAAATAAAACACAATGAACTGCGAAGGCATGCAACAAGAAATAACTTCTCCACTGTTCCGCCACACAAACTTGACGAAGAACGGACTACACCAACAAACAAAAGTTACGTCAAGCTACTCATATACATTTCCTCACACATCCCTCACCCAGTATCATGTATAGGCCGTGTGCCACGCTGTATGCCGCATGCCACAGCGAGAAGTTCTTGCCCGTCACACGTCGCTTGGCCAACACCACGATGATGGCAGCCGACGCCGCCATGTCGTCCAGCAGAGTCTCCCTTCAAATTGACAATTGCGTTTTTTTTATTCTGAGATGTAATGTAATGTCTTGTTTTGCTTGCAAGCGATCGATAGAGTATTATTTTGGCAGAGAGCAATCGTGACTGATCGTTTATATTGTTTTGGTTGTAGGCTATTTTGTTTATACATTGTTTTCATTGTAGGCTATCGTATGTGAAGTGTTTCGGCCGAGAGCGATCGCGAATACATTTTAATGGCTTTCAGCGATCGCGTATACATTATTTTTTGGTCAAGAGCAATCGAGTATGTGATTTAATATGATTCTCCAATAACCATAATTGCGGCTACACACCTAAATATTTCCATTCATGCGTTACTTATAATTTTTCAAAGACATATTAAGCAGTTACCTAATTTTATGCTTGCCCCTCTGCAGCCAACATAATTTTGCAAAGATAAATAAAAGCAGTAACCTGATATTATGCTTGCCCCTCTGCAGCCACGACGCAAGTTGCCACACATGCTCCTGCTGGGGGAAGTGTAGGGAAGGCACGGAGAACCTCCTGTACATGATAGACGATGTGAATAAGTTTCAACTAGATTTTCATCAAGACTTGCTTCAATCTATAATATCTCCCAAGATGTGAATAAGTTCCAACTTATTTCATCCATAGGTTTTCATCAAGATTTGATTCAAGCTCTACTATTTTACAATGTTGAATATTTGCTTTTTTACCTCTAAATTTTTTCATAATAGAGCTTTGTTGGATAATGTACATTTTAGATGTTGATAAATAATGTTCATTAATATCATGAAGTTAAAAACTTGAATTGCCAATGAAAATGCGTTACAAGCTGAAAATGAAATTAAAGACAAGAATTTCTTTCAAAATTAAAATAATAGAGCTTCTACTTAACAAAAATTTTAGACACAATAAAATTTACTTTATGAAGAAAAAATAGTAAAGCTTCATCCTTCTAACAAAATATATTCTTGTCACAGTTCAGAAAATATAAAACCTTCCAAATAACCTCATTAATAAATTTTATTTCCAACTTTTGTTCTGAACAATTTATTCTATAAATTTGATAAATAATACAAAAATCATTACCTCTGACGATGCCGCGAGAAACGTTAATATCAAACATAGAAATTAGAAGACAAAAATTAAAAGCGAGAGAGTATATCAACAGTGATTAGAAGTAATGCAAACAATTTCTTCAATGCTTTATTAGAGCAATGGAAGGAATTAACACATTGAAACCATGACAGCCACAGAGCAGGAAAGAAGTAAAACTCGAGCACAATGTCAGCTTAGAATAGTCATTTAATCTTATTCACGATAAATAGCAGCAAAACTGAAGCTGGATATATGGAAGCAAAAAATGTCAGCCAACATTAGAAGAAACGTAAAAAAATTGTGAAAGTCAAAATTCTCAAACAAAACATTTAAAATTATCATCTCGAACACTAAAATCTATCTTCTTAAGAAATTTGAAATTCAAGACCAGTGGGCTAATAAAACTTGATATTATAATCTTCAAGACTCATGTGCCATTAAACGCAGACTGGCAGTAGAGAAGGCTTAACTGCGCTCCAATGACAACTGGAGTACCTACCAAGCAGCATTGAAATATGATTTATCAACGCATACATAGTTCATGATTTATACATACATAGTTCAAAATAATTTACCAACACAATTCATAGTTCATGAAGTGGATAGTGTAAACCAGGACTAATATAAAACTTTGAGGTGCCAGAGTACACCTTGAAATGTGGGCCTGATTTGTGCACACTAGAACATTTCAGAGAGGCAAGACAACGTCATCACTCATACCCATGTAGGCGCAGCTCTTGCAGCTGTTCAGGCGTTAGCAATCGTCTGATGCAGTTACTGCTGCTCCAAGAAATATTTGTTAATAAAAACTCATAAAGAGAAACTCAGGCATTATTTAGCTTGCAATTTTTTTAATAAATTAGTAATTATTGAAAGGAATGAGTCTCAGTTGATATTGGTTGAGATAACAGAGAATCAAAAATGGTCGTTAAATTATTGTAATAAAATTATTAAAGGGAATCATTTCTTTGGAACATTAGCCTTCTTAGAAAGCCCCCACAATAAGAGGTTAAATTAGTAGCCTCATTTATTTGGAAAGGAGCTGAAATTTTAATAAAAAATGTGAATGAAGTTAATTGAAGGTTTTCAAGACAATGAAGGTATTCTCTAGGAAGGTGTTGCAATTTATTTGCAATAATTCTTAGGGATAATGTCGAAAATTTTTTTGATAGGAGAATTATAAATGCAAAGAGAAGGAATCAGTTATACAAGAAGATTATACCACATGGAATTAATTTGAAATAAGGTTACATACAAATACAAGGAACAATAGAAACTTATACAGTGTTAACTTACACAATTACGACATAGGAAGCAAGCATTATTTTATGATGAAAAAGAAAACAACTACAGATAATATTAATGTGATGCAATACTTTCAAGGCACAGCATACGAGTAGAGTTTGAGAAATGCTGGCAAGCTACAAAAAGAGCATCGAACAGCACAACAAATTCAAAAAATGTATGAAAAAAGAAACCCACAATAATTCAGCATATCTCCATTGAAAAAGTTTCCGAGTCCAGCTCCATATTAACGTTATATCCAGTGCCACGTTTAGAACTCCAAAACGTATTCAATACAGATATGCCGAATTTTTGTGAAGTTTTTTTCACTTTTACATTTTTAGTGTATCTGCGATTCAAGCAATCTAGTGACATTAACAAATTGAAGCCATAGCACTACAAAGAACATGGAATATCTAAAACATATTTCTGTTAGTTTTTATAAATTCATGATATGATGTATTTTTTCTGTAGTGCAAAGAACAGTACCAACCTATATAGTATATTGGTGTATGCTGATACAAATGTGAAGTCAAAAATACTGATGAAATTAATTTTTAGATTGTGTTGGGAAAACACCGTGTTTAGATTACTGTGTGACAACACCGTGTGTTTAGATTACTCAGTGCAGGTGTTGGGCAAACATTGGTGTGTGGTGTGCGTTATGTGTGTGCAATGTGTGTTTTGTGTGTAACATGTGTGATGTGTGTGGTGTGTGTTATGTGTATACATGTGTAAAGTATGTGTTGTGTGTTATGTCTGTTTTCCGTATAATATGTGTGAAGTGTGTGTTGTGTATCATAAGTGTGCAGTGCGTAGTGTACAACTGACCCAGTCTTCCTGATGCTGGAGAGGTGAGTAGCATCAAGCTGCTTTGGGTCTCCTTTGCTGTCAACAGCAACAGCATCAAGTTCATCAAATGAGGGAGGCACAAAGGCGTCCCTCAGGATTAAAGGTTTGGTGGAATTCTTTGTTCCTGAATGAGAAAAAATTTCATTAAATTAGATGTTCGAAAATTTGTATTTCTGATACAATCTTTCTAAATTGAGTAGAATACATAGACATTTCAAAACTGTGTGCCACAAATTAAAAATAGAAAACTGTTAATTAGAAACATTTATTTGCATTCATTGCTGATAGAGAGCAATTTTTTTAAATCAAAGTTGATAAAAAGAGTTTGAACATAGCTTAAATGCAACTAAGTTCATTGATTTATTAGGTTAATTCATCATCTTACAAGTAATAATGACACTTAAAAATTCATTGAACTTAAATAAACACCCAAAAAACAGTAAATTCAGGAAATTGTCCAAAATTGAGGAGCATATTTTGCGAATTCCTAATATTTTCTGCAATAGTTACCAGGAAATATTTAAAACTTGAATATAGATATCAATTGATACTAGTAAATTTCGGTACAAAAGGGTGCAGATAGTTTCATGCTCAAAATTAAAACCTCACCACCAGTTCTTGGTGACACGTCAGCTTGCACGGCCAGAGGAGGAGGCAGAGCAACAGGAAATGTTTTCCAGTGATACAAAACATTCTCAGCAACCTGCCCAAAATATAATATTTTTGGAATATATATTTATATTACTCATATATAAATAATTATATACATTATATATTAATGAAATATACACTAGAAATGTTAATCATATTTCTAATGTATTTAACTTGTTCAAGGTAAAGCTTCCCAACACCAGCAGAAGTTCATGAAAAAAAAACAAGCAAGAAATAAAAACCTGATTTAACATTAAGTTTTGATCATCAGAAGCAGTTTGAATTCATGAGCAATTGATGATATGCATAGGCTTTTCATATTCACATGTCCTTTTGACATCAACAAATTCAATGTCTGGCCTACCCAAATAAAAAAGTTTATGAAGATCAGTTTTTAAATTATATAAATAAAGAATCAGATTGGAGACAAAATGTCATAAGTCATATTTAGAGAGGTCCAGTTTCTTCCATATTATTAAAAAAAAATATTTTTTTCCTATTCTCTGAAATTCTTCACCTGTTTGATGTGTTCTAGAAGTGCCAGAGATTCTGGTGGCAGACCTTCAGTAGTGATGTTGAATGTTAGCTGTTCTCTCTGAAAAACACAAGGCATCTAACAATCTTGCAAATAGATTTTGAACTAATGTGCAAACAAATTTAAACATAAATATTCATTAATCAACATTGATTAATCAAAAGATTAATCAACATTAATCTTTTCTTAAAACATGTAATTACTTTACGAACATAAATTAAATGAAAAGAAAGAAATGACAGATTTTATTGATATATTCAACAGGTTGTACTTCTATTTGCATTTAGAATAATAAAGAGAAGAGCATGGCCATGGAGATGCCACAGAATTATTAGATTAAAAAAACTTAGAACAAAATTTAAAATCTAAGATTGTTATGTACATGGAAAAAAATTAAAACACATGGATACCCATGAATAAATCCAACTGAAAAATTGATCATCACAAGTTGACCAATAGAATACAAAGCATCTTCAGAAATGAATACAAATCCAACATGGCCTACCTGAGGTTCAAGAAGTGGTGTTGTTACAGATGCTGAATCATTGCAGAGCCCTGAATTTCTTGCAATGTGATCTGCAGATCTCTGCAGCAATGAAGACTCCATGACACCTCATGCCAATATTTCTTGTGCTCAGCCTGATCATTAATGCATCTAATATTGATTAAATATACATGCTGAACAGATGAAAAGTTCTAATGGCCATTCTGACTACAGCAAGTTTTTTGCATTGATTCTAAGTCACAAATGGGTTCATGCAACAAACAAATGAAACTTTTGTTGATATCTAATTTACCAATACACAAATAAGCAGTGGTAGATTAATAAATCATTTATCTGGTCAATGTAACAGAGTTATATTATTTATACATTTAAAATGCATTAACTCTATATTAATCCTATATACCATCAAATGGGGTAATAAGGGACTGGTGGGCTAAATCAGGAGAGTCCTCCATCATGGCCAGAAAATGCTATAGCAGCAAAACTAATTGAAATATTGCAAAAATAAAAATAGTGGTTTAAACTTATTAACCTGAGCCAATGGTTCCCAAACTTTTTCCACCTGGCGCCCCCTTTGGTTCCCCAGTGAATCTCTAGCACAACCCCTCTCCCAACAGTTACATGCATATAAAAACAAACACCTTTTTTTTGATATTTAGTACCTATGCTGCAATTTTATAAGAGAGAGGTTAAACACAAATTTGTATTTCACAAATAGAGCCCCATTTAGTAAACCAATATATTTTTTTACAGTTATAACTGCTTCAGCACTAGAAACTCAGGACATCTTGGATAAATTTAGGGCTGGACTTGTGGCCGGTCTTGCAGCTGGTCTCACGGCCAATCTCCAAAATCAGTGACCAAGGAAAATCTCACAAACTAATAAATGCAGCTTGATAAAACTTGGATCACATATTCATTAGGACCTAATGGTGATGTTCAGCTTGTGAAAAGTGTTTAAATTTCACCTTCATATGGGAGTTATGTGGTGATACGGGCCAAAATTCACAGTGATCAAAGAATTTCTTCTAAACTACTGAACAGATTAGAACAAAATTTTGATTATAAATTCCAAACTACCAAATGGTGATTTTTAGCTTGTGAAAATTTATTTGATTTAGAGTCATGTTCTACATGTGTTGTATACAAATTGTTAAACAAACATACGAACTTATGACTTCAACTTTGCGGACTGCCGCCCCCCAACTGCCCCTTCCTTCCTCACTGCACCCTCCCCAGATTCTTCCACCATCCAAAGGGGGGCAATATTGCCTACTTTGGGAACCACTGACCTAAACTATGATTTATTTCTTCCAAAAATATGATGGTTGTCAATTGTCACTAAAATATTTTTTCTTGTTTCATGTATCTTTTTATGGTCTTTTTTTGTTATAGTGAATTCATTCACTTGACCCAATTATATTGGTGCAAAATTATAAACCCAGTCCCATAAGATTGTGGAAAGAATGCCAAATGGCTGCTGATATGAAGCAATGCAGTGGACAGGATTGTTGGCTTGCCAATGGCAGGGAAGTTTTTTAGTTTTTTTTTAATTGTTAGGTATAGAATGGGATAATGTATAGAATGCAGCAAACCTTTTTAAAATTAAGTTTTGTTTCAAATGTCTGCTGTCTAGGATTACCCCATTCCCAGGGCCAGGCATAGAATATATCTCCTTGGCAAGCCGTGAAAGGATTTTTTGAGCCTTGGTTTTATACGTTTGCCAGCCATCATTCAATTTCTTCAAGCCGTGAATTTCATTTCTTGGCCATGAAGCCATTTACGAGCCGCAAGCTTATTCTTCCCAGTCCCATGCACATGTTATCCTACATCTCTAATTTTACCCTAACAACAGTCACAAACACTTGTCTTCACTTAAGCGACAACTGAACAAGTGATAATGCAGTCTGCCGGCTCTGACGTGACCTCAACTACACGATCAAGTAAATGTTTGGGTCGACTTGTTGATGATGCTACTACATTCTGCATGTTATTTTTGCAGGAGGTGGGAGCATTGAAGTATATATAGTGCAGATTGTGGAAGTTGAAAATTTTATAAAACAACATGTTTGCAAAGAACAAACTGCAATTTTTTAAATCAAACAACAAATCATGACATTAGAGCTGCAAACTTTCATATCTACTGAAGACTGAAGTTATATGAAATTAGAGCCCTGGTATTTCAGAAAAAAATAGGACTTTTCCAGCCCTGCCCAGCATAGTGGCTAAGTGGCAAAGCAGAAAGTTTTTTAGACTCTCCTTCAAATTCATTTTTGAGTCCCATAAGTAGACCAGTAAAGTATCTTGGATAGGGTAAACGCGGTATATTCCGACATTGTGGGTAATTCCGTCACCTCTTTCATTTTTCCTTCATATTAAGCTTTGTTTTAGTTCCATGCGTTCGTTGATGGTTGAAATGGTGACGTCATACATTTGCGTGTCAAACTACTGCCAAAACACTAGGTCTTGGCCATCTAGCAGGAAAATATTGAGATCCAAAGAGAGACGATGCACGCTACCCAGTGAGATCATTGAAAAATGTGTCAAATTTGACAGTTGACCTTGCTCTACCAAATAGTGAATAACTGTTTGTATAGGAAGAATATTATGGTTTGAGACTTTTAAAAACGTCTGTGAATATATTAGGAATCCTTTAAGTATACTTGTATTCGCTGATTTCAAGTGGTAAATAAATCAATAGATGATTAAGTTGAGAAATGGATTTAGACACATGAAAACTAATTCCGTCACAACTTGAATTGGACACACACAGATCGTTCCAAGCTGTGTACAAAAATTAAAATTTGCTTAATTACAAGCTTAATAGTTGTTAATTAAAAGCGTAATTAAGTAGTGTTCAATATTCATTAGTGTTCTAATTCAAAGCCGTGTTGTATTCCAATACAGCTCACACAGCGAATGGAATTCGAACACGTGGATGATGGCATTACGTATCAGTAGAATTTGAAGCGCTGACGCAATACGACTCACCACGTGCCAAATATTGCCACACACAGTGACGGAATATAGGGATTTGGTATTTTTCCATTCTAAAGGCTCTTAAATAAATATGACAACATTTTGTGACGTTTCGTTGTTGCTGACTCGTAGTGCGGTGTTTTGAGAGTCACATAAAGCAAACCAAACTTGAGTAACGCATACGGTTATTTTTTTATAGTTTTTCATTTCTCAATGCGTCCTTAATGTGACGGAATATACCGCGTTTACCCTACCAGAATTATCATACATAAGGAATTGATTAAAATCTTGAGGAAATTAAAAATGAAGTGATTCTAAAAATCACTGGTTTGCCACTGTGCTGCCCAGGGCCAGGTACCGTATGCCGTATGGCATTATATATCTACTTGGCAAGCCATGACTAAATTTTTTGAGCCATGGCTTTATGGATTTGCCAGTGGCCCAGTTGTGATTCCATTTCTTTGAGCCGTGATTTCACTACTTCGAGCCGTGCATTCCATATCTTGGCCATGAAAAATCATTTACAAACCAGCAACCTCATACTTTTTACAAAGTCTCATGCACATGTTAGTTGTTACCCCTAATCTCTAATTTTCAAAACACACTTTTGTGTGTTTTGAAAAACACACAAAAAAAACCAAACAGTCTAAAAACTAAGTCAACACACAGTCTAAACAGTCAGCACTTACATATGTCTTAATTTATATGGCATCTGAAGTCTGAGCAGTTGTTTGTTGCCGTCGTACGCCCAAGTCTAGAGTTTGGAAACGTTGTGTGGTCACCGAGATTTGAAAAGGACAGAAATTTAATAGAGAATGTTCAAAGACGTGCAACAAGGATAATTCCAGGCTTGAAGAGCAAGTCATATGAAGAAAGATTGAAGATTATGAAGCTTCCAAGCCTCAGTTATCGACGTCTTCGTGGGGACCTCATTGAAGTATACAAGTATACTCATGGTCTAGGCTATACAAGGTCCCTGAAGGGTTACTAGAATTTGAAACAAGAACCAACACCAGGGGCCATGGCTATAAGCTAAAAAAACCGCGCTGCAACTTCTCCACGCGACATAATTTCTTCTCGCTTCGAATCACTGACATGTGGAACAGCCTCCCCGATGGCATCGTTGTCGCTCCAAGTATGAACGCATTCAAAAACAGACTAGATAAAGCTATGGAAAAATATATGTTCAGATTTGAAATGCCTAGCTCCTTATCGAACCCGGTTTATTATTGTCAGTTTGACTCGCGTAGTCAATATACTCGCGTATATTGTCGACTAAAATAGTAGAACTATTTTAGCTTTCTAAAGTACGGCGCACGACGCATTTTTTTACCAACATAGTACGGCGCACCTTGCACCGCGGCGCAGGTCGTTAAAATGACAAAATAAATTCCCGCGCACCTGGCACATCTTCCTGACCATGGATGTTATGTTATGTGATAATGCAGTCTGAGAGTCTGACCACTCTGACATGACATGACTGCAACTTTGCAATAATCAAGGAAACATTTTGCATTGAATTGTTGTCATTACAAGTGCAAACCACAATTTTTTCAATTAAATAAAATTAAGGCCGGTATTATTGCAGATTAACTACATCCAAAAAAAAGGGTGTTTTTTTTT